CCCCAAAACCCCAAAACCCCAAAACCCCAAAACCCCAAAACCCCGTTTAGAAGTTGCTCTGTTGAATTAATTTTAGCTTAATGGTACATAAACAATCAGCAAATGTTTCCTCTCATCAAAACCCCCCTCCAAACAAAGAGAACAGAAGTTTAGGAAAATTTTCAATTAGTAATCAAGCTCAATCTTTCTTATTTCCTGAATTAATCTCTCCAGGTATTTTTCCTTATCGTAAATTCCTACTTTCTTATTGCAATTTAAAACCTGCTTGGAAAACAATGCTCTCCATTTCTCAGAGGAGAAGAAGAGTATCTTTGCAAGCTTCATGATCGGATGGCCCATACAGAATTCCCCTATTGCCTTTGTGTATCTTCTTCCTTGAGAATTATATTTTTGAAGATCTCTCATAATACTACTTTGCTCAGAGTTACTATTGAACGGAATCAGTGCATCCTCAATGTTTTGCTTCCTGATAGATAGGAAAATCAGAATGCTGTAGATACTTTTTATACTTCTTTCATCAAGATCATTTCCAAGAGCATTAATAATTTTTTCTGAAAACAAATCAAAGATTTCTAATTTTAACTCTTTGAATTTTCTTCTCAAATTAATTCTATGTTCGTTATAATATTCATCGAGGGCCTCGTCTATCATTGTTTTAACAATACGGTTGCAACCCCTGATGGTAGTCTTCCTTACATTATCATCTCTGAAAAGGTGCTTGCTTTGACATCCATTGTGTCTTCTATTTGGAGTGAATTGTGGGCTATCTTCTTTTATAGTGAAATCTTCAGAGCTACCTTCAGTTTTTCAGAATTGTCTCCAGAGCTGATAGATGTGGTATCTATTCTTACAGGATTGTTTCTCACTTGATCCTCTTGCCCCCCACTGTGCTCTGACTGGGTGGTATTGCAAGGCTTGTTCAACACTTCATCAGAATTCTCATTTGATCTTGTGCTCGGACTGTCAGATGAACTAAAAGTGAAACGAAACGAATACCTCTTCCCCATGAAATAGTCTAGCGGTTGCTCTTCACTTTCAGAATAATCTAAGAAAGCTTCCTGTTCTTCTTCGGCTGGATCGAATGCATTAACATTCATTACCAAATACCCAGTCTCAAGCATCTCATGCTGCTCTTCCTCTCCTTCAGAGGCCTCAGGTTCTTCTTGAAATTCTTCTTGCTCCAAAGAGCAAGACACATCCCTACCATTAACTACCTCATCAAGATACGCTGTCAAATCTTCAAAGGACTCCATATAATTATTTTTGCAATTCAGAAAAATTTTCATTTGCTTTCATCCTAAAAGGGGTTTTGGGGTTTTGGGGTTTTGGGGTTTTGGGGTTTTGGGG